AGGGCACTTAAGTTTTTGTAAGACAAGGTGGCACTTGCCACTGATTCTCCCCTCCTAGTGCAGACCATACTTATGCTGTTCCTGAACTTGCATGGACTGCCACCAGAGCAAAATTGGGGAGGGGGGCTCAGCAGGCTGTAATGGGAGGGAAGAACTGGCAGAAATCATTCCCTCCTCATAAGAAAGCTTAAAGATGCTTAAGTTTTCTTAGCTGCCTGGTTGGATACAAGCCACCAAGTTTCGGGTACATAATGAACAATGACAAGGAAAAAGTGGGACACCAGAAGTTCTCTTACAGTAGTGTCAGGCTTGCCACTTTTTCATTCAACCTGTTCAGCACATTTTAACATGGAGTTCGGTTGTGTGAGAGAGGTTAGGTTATATGCCAGGAAGAGATACAGGGCCAATTTATAATCAACAGGATCAAGAGGTAAATATTCTCCTGAACTCTGCCACTTCAAGCTGCATTTGGAATGTGGTATGAATGATCCCACAAAAGATTCTCTGTACACAGAACAAACACTTTGTTAACGCAGAAAGCTAGGCTGAACCCTTCTCTTTGACAGGCTACATTTGATGTAGGGGACTACTACGAAAATGCTACCCCTTTCTGATATCTAAAATGAGGCATCCCAAAAATGGTTTTGCCACTTGATTTTGCAGATGGTATAACTGTCCCTGTGTGTCAAGGCCAAATAGAAGTTTAAGCAACTATTTCTTGTTTAGGCAAATGTTTGGTTCTTTAGGGCCCCTGCCACACGGGGGGGGGGGGAGAGCATGGCCAAAGTGCGGCTTTTTAGAGCCGCCCCAAAAGAGACACACGGCGGCGGGATCTGACAGATCCCCTGAGCCGCCACGCAGTTGCTCCCCGGCACGATCAGATGCCGGGAGGGGGGGCCCACGGAAGGGAGCGTGAGGCAGCCGGCTGCGCATGTGTGTGCATGTGCAGTTCGGCCAGGAGCCTTGATTGCTCCTGAAGATGGGCGCGCTGGCGATCTCACGGCCGTGCTTGCTGCACCGTTTCAGGTAGGTCCTACCTTTTTCTAGGTTTTTTTAATATGCGCATTTTTGGCCTAAAGGGCCGAATCGGGGACGGGTGCGCACCGCTTCCCAGATGTTGCAGTGTGATCGCGCCCGTTTGCTGCGCCCCCCATCCGTCCCTCTTCCGGGCCTAAACCTCCCGTGTGACCGGGGCCTAGGCTAAAGAAAGAAACAACACTATGGCAAATATGGGACAGGCCACAGATCCCTGGTGTCTCTTCCTCTGTTCTTATCACACATTGACTAACCCTAGACTTTTCAGACACAGTTACTGGTTTTGCACCAATCCCATAAAATCTAGTTTCAGCCTGAACAGGAAACTTTGCTACACTATGAGACTGATCTGTAGAAAATTACTCTAGACTATACACTCCTTATGTTTACATATGCATTCATATTGTGGGGGGAGAATGAACAGAGTTGTCAAGCCAATCCGGAGAAGGCACAGAATGAAAGAGAGTCCAAGGAATATTTCCTTCTCTACATATAAACTTTTCAAATTCATTACAGTGTTCTGTTTTTGAGAGAGATGGTTCTTGATTCAGGACACGATAATGAAATGATAAAAATCAGAAAAACTGATTAACAGTGCAACTGTCAGATATACTGCAATCAATTAAGTCACATGAATGAAGAGCTTCCAATAAGAAATTTGGCTCTCAGACTACCTGTCACAAAAGTTTCTATTTTCATGCAACATATCATGGTTTTCCCAGCTGCTTTCCCTATTCTTCATTTCCTAGCAGCAGCTGCAGACAAGTCATGTGAAGGATAATAAAAACAATGTACAAGTGTAAAGCAGATATAAATAATCCACAAAATTTCATTTGGATATATGCATATTACATTGGAAATGTACTAACAATTGAACACCAGGTGAACAACAGAGATGATAGGAAGCACCAAGAACACCGAACCTTTCACAAGAATGTTCAGCCTCTGGTTCCTTCTTAAAGATATAACCTGAAGCTGGCTTAACACTCTATAGTGGCAGGAATTATAGTAATAACAAAGCAGAAGAACTCCGCTCCTTTGTGCTGTGGGGTTTGTGTTATAGGGTAGCGCTGATTTCATGCCTCTTCTCCTTTTCTCTTCAAATGGTGAAACATGAGGACATCGAAAAATTAACTTACTGTTTTTTGCAAGGAAATGCTGTTATGAAGCTCCCTATAATTCTTGCATGGTTACCATCTCTTACCAATATATTTCATATGGTGAAACTGCCCTCATTTCCAAATTAAATCCTTTCCATTAGCACCAACTCTTCTTTGGATGTTTTCTCTGTTTCACCATATGCATTTCATGTAAATTGATTTTAAGGTTTCTGGTAGAATATGATCAACACTTAACAAGCAAACAAGGTGTTTTCTACCTTTCTTGAGAGAGAACAGTTTCTCATTAAAGGGAATAAAATATTAATTAGAAAACATTTAAGAATCAGCAGTTTAGATTTCTTAGATTTTTGTATGGCTACATGAATAGTTTCAGCTTTCTTTTCCTGACTTATTTACTTAGCAATTGAACTTCCCGATATTATATCTCAACTGCTAGCCAGAAGTAGCTCAGGAAAATGTTGGGTTTTAGCAGGAAGCTGCTAAAACAGTGAGACTGTATGTGAGTTCTCAGAGAGTTCCAATCCATACTTTAGTTACACAAACTCTCCATTTGTTATGACGTTACAGATGCCATGAGAATGCAATTGTATTTTCTTTTCTTTTGTGTGTGAAAAACATATGAGTAAGGCCGTAAGTGTGTGGCAGAATTTGCCATAACAAACATTTCAATTGAATTCCATAGTACAAATTCACACAATTAAAACAAAAAACCCCTAATATGTCCATTGTTCTAGGCACAACAACTGTGATGCTTAGATAAAGTACTCATGGTAGCCAGTTAGAAAATAATTCTCTTCCTTGTTCAGAGGACTATACCTTAGTAAAAATAACATGTTGACCCAATCTCCCACTTTATTTCATTCTCAGACTTTTCCAAGAAGTTCAGCATTAGCTCTTATGCAAGTTCCACAAACGCAAAGAATAATCACTTGTCAATAGCTTTTGTAAAGCCAATTATCTAGGTGTCAGAGCATTATTATGCTCATTATTTTAAAAACATAACCAGTGTAAATTAATTCAGGAGTTATAAGGATTTCTAGTGGTTAAAAAGGTAAACAAGTAAGTCACTGTCTTAGCATCTAGTACATGCTTACAAGTGATTTACACTGTAATTCAAGACTACCAGAATAAACCCCCCTTTGAATCCACCTCTGCAATAACTTTTTTCCCAGGTGCCACCTGCAGTGTGCGAAGGATTCTGCTCATGAATCTCTACAAATGCAACCCCAGCGCACAACAGCAACATGATACTATGGGATAATGAACACCCATTAGTTTTATACTACAGCCGGTACTGCAGAGAAAGCCACACAGACTTCCACACAGAAGCACAGGTTCATAACGCTATTGAATTTCTTTCTTTTTAAATGTTTCCTATAATGTCTGTGTCAAGAAGAGAGCAAGAGAAAACTTATGAAAGGCAAAGGAAAAGAAAAGGAACTGAAGGAAAATGAGGCAGAAAGTGAGACACAGGACAAAAGCGAAAGGTAGGAAGGAAAAGCTTCCATGATTGTTTTGCTATGCAAGACTTAAGATTACCTTAAAACCTCTCCCATGTCATTTATGCGAACATCTGATTGTTGCTAATGCAGAAGAGAAAGGGAAACAAAATCACCTGCAGTGCAAATTGAGTTTCTGGTTAATGTAGCTTTCACATTGGTGTTATAAACAGATTGGATCCCCACAGGTGCAGGAGAATGGAAGCTGGCCGTTTTTGCTGAGGTTTTAGAGCAGAGGAACAGGTGAGGCTGCTTGGCCCCAATTTCCGCACTCAAAATCCTTCCCCCAAGCTGTCTGGGGACCATATGTCCCCCTTGCAATGTTCCCTCTAAGCTGAGTTAGTGTGAACTAGCTCGCAGTTTTTTAGCCTCCTGCTCACACATTTTTGTCTCAGCTCAGGAAGGGATGGTTCCAGAGCAAACTAATTTATGCAGTCACCAAATGGCTCACTCACAGCTTTAATGCCAGTAGCTCACAAAGTAGAATTTTTGCTCACAAGACTCCACAGATTAGAGGGAACATTGCCCCCTTGCCATTATATGAATGTTATGAATGTTATATTTAAGCATGTGTGTTCTATGGCTTGTTGCCGTAATAAATGCCTGACTGGCCCCCTTGCCATGGATGGTGATTGTTGAGTAGAATGATGGCCACAGAGGAATGAGGTGAGCAGCCCTTCCCTGCCATTCCCCTGTTTATATCTAGATCTTCCTGTGACAGTTTTTCACTAAGGGAAAAAAAGATGTAGTTGGCAGCTCTTGCTCATCAATACTGGCACAAGACAGGCACATCCATGGGAAAGGTGTGGAGGAAGCCCTTGTAGAAAGAAGTGTTATAAAATTTCTGTGACATCATCCTCATCAGCAGAAGCAGCAAAATAAGCACTCTCTACCATTAGGTCCAGCACCTGTATTATCCTGGGATATTCGACACAAGGGTGCAGGTCAGCATAGTCCTGCGGGTCCAACACTGGTTTGTGGAAGATGGTCAAGAAAAATTACACCTTCTATAAGAGCAGGTCATATGGCCTTACGGAGATTTGCCTACACAAAATTAATATGCGCCTAACCACTGTAAAGCGATATTAAGACACAGGTCTTAAGATCTGGGTCAATCAAAAGTAATGCTAGAAGTGGCCCACGCTTCTAGTTCCTAGGTCAGTTTCACACCAATTATATGAACCACTAAACATCATAATGGTCTTCTGTTAGGCCAGACAAACATGCTGCAGAATCCTTTTACATCAGGAAAAAAACCCATATGCACACCTTAATTACCATCTGAAGGGGCACCATTGTAAACAAAGGTTAGTAGCACAGTGGCACAGTAGATTGTCATGAAAACCAATAAAAGTGGATACAGATTCATCTACCTTGCATGTACATTATTGCCAGTTACAAGGGAGGGAGTCTGTAAATTCATAATTCTGAAGTTTTGTTAATAAGGACAGAAGTACAAGTCAGTGATCCATCTACTTTTTCTAGCTCTGTACAGGCTATAGGGATCAGCATGTGGTCCTTCAGTTTTTCAAAGACCTATTTGGGGGGGGGGAGAGGAAAAAAGAATTATAGATGTGAATAAATGTTTCAACAAGAGGTTGCATTAGTACAATTTTGCCTTTGCCCCAGTTTAATTAGTAACCCTCCAGTGATCTTATTTGGAAGTCCATATGTTCATGTATGAATGCATATACCCCCACCTACAATGTATTTCAGTCTGAAAAGAGGCCTGTTTGGAAGTATCTGACAGACGTGGGAGTGTGCATTTTTTTGGTTCGGGTCTATTGGATAAAACAAAATTAGGTATTTCTGAAAAATCCTAGATTCCAATGTGACAGTTTTCAGTATTCAGATCCTAGATTCCAATGTGACAGAATTCCAGTATTCAGATCTGGAATTTTTAATGGAAATCCCAAATTTTGGGGGTCCAATAAACCCAAGAAGAAAAATATCAGATTTTTAAAAAGCCAGCCTGATCCTGGGGCTGGCTTGGCTTCTCCTGCAGCCCAGTTTAAACCATGCCGCAGGAGAAGCCTGCTCCAGGATCTGTGTGCCATGGGAAAATCATTCCCTGAGGCACACAGGTCCTGGCTGGGTCTGCTTCTCCTGTAGCCCGGTTTAAACCATGCTGCAAAAGGAGCCTCCCTGAGGCACGTCGATCCTGGCTGAGACTGCTTCTATTGCGGCCCGGTTTAAACTGGGCTGCAGGAGGAACCAGCTACTGGATCTGTGTGCCGTGGGGAAATCCCTCCCCAAGGCACACAGATCCTGGCTGGGACTGCTTCTCCCGCAACCCAGTTTAAACCATACTGCAGAAGGAGCCAGCCCCAAGCCAAGCCAGCCGGAACAGTCTGCTCCCCCCATTACAGCTGATTCTGATCCTCAGGGTGCCTTCTGCAGTCCCTTTAAACTTGGGGGGGGGATATTTTTCATATGCGCATATGTGTGTGTGTGCGCATGCACGTGTCTGTGTGCACCTGGAAGTCATGGCGACTTCTGGTGACTGACCCCTACTGGGGCCCTGGACAATATTCAGAGAGGTGGCTGAATAAAGCCTGCCCCCGCTTCCAGTATTTCAAGGAGGTCTCCCATCCAAGTACTTGTCAGAGTCAGCCCTGCTTAGCTTCCAAGGTCTGATGAGATCAGACTTGCCTGGCCTATCCAGGTCAGGGCTTCCCTTTAAACCTTAAAGGGACTGCAGTAGAAGCCCAACAAACAGCTGCAAGTCAGGAGTGATCTGCTCCTGCCTCTCCTCTATATTTGGATTTACTGATAATTCCCAAATAAATCCAGTATTTTGGGGGGATTCCCCCCCCCCGTTTTTCCTGAGAAAACCCTGATACATTTGGAAAGTCGAAATATACCCGAAAAGTACTGATAAGGTGTTTTCCAAGTACATTTTTGGTCCGGTAGACCCGAATGCACACCCCTAGAGTAAATTTTCTCAACCCTAACAAATTGTTAAAGTTGGCACAGGTGGAAAATAAGCAAATCTTCCTCATTTAGATAAAAGGAACACACACACCATGGAGTAGACAGGAGGAAGCACTGACAAAATTTGGTAGAAAAAAATACTAAGTCAGGATCCAACCTAGAACAGACATAATAGATTAGGAACTTGAAAAAAGTATGTCTGTTTCCTGTGCTGTAACTATGCAGCCAAAAGAATGGAATACCTAAGAATAATCTGTACTATGGGACTGCCTTTTTGAGATCAGCAGCCAATGGACCTTTACACAGAGCAGCTTAGGTTCCTCAACAAACAGCACAAGCTCCGTCAACGAGAACTCTAGATGCACATACATTCCTGCATCATTAGCTTCATCTGACTTCTCCTTTTCTCATTTGTGTATAACAGCAATGTTATATACTACTGGCAGTGTTTGAACACCAAGCTGATGATAAATTCTCCCCTATCCCCCACATCCTGTCTGAAATGTAGAATAAATTGGTACCTTATAGAAAAAATGCCTCAGTATTGTTGCTTTTACCTTTGCAGTTTCTGGATACTCCTCAGGGGCTCGGTGCAATAAAATATGGCCTTTGCCAGGAATGTTTAAATATACACAGTTTGCTGCACTGTCATTGGGAACTGTAAGCTTGTCATAGCGGTGATCACTCATCTGCTGCATAGTCTGTAATGGAATTTGAATCAGAAAAATGAATATAGTTAAAAATAAAACCACACAAAAAGAATACTTGCTCAACATAGGTTGTTAATTTAAACCAGGAAGCCTCTCACCTTGCAGCAAGCATTTCAAATGGAGGACATCTTAGTACACAGTGAAATAGCAATCAGTAGTACAATTTAGTAAAGGTAAAGGTTTCCTTGCTCGAAAGCCAGTCGAGTCCGACTCTAGGGTTGCGGTGCTCATCTCCATTTCAAAGCTGAAGAGCCAGCGCTGTCTGAAGACGTTTCCGTGGTCATGTGGCCATCATGACTAAACACCAAGTTGCACGGAACGCTGTTACCTTCCCACCAAAGTGGTACCTATTTATCCACTTGCAATTTCTTGCTTTCGAACTGCTAGGTTGGCAGGAGCTGGAACTAGAGACAGGAGCTCACTCCGTCATGCGGCACAGTCGGGTCTCGAACTGCTGAACTACTGACCTTCCACAGCCTGCAGTTCAGCATCTTAACCACTTGAGCCACCGCAGCTCCAATTTACAATTAGGACAATATTTAACATGTCCTATGATACTGGATGCTAAAAATAACATGTATAACTGTTTGTCTTCCTTGAAGAGGATCACAAGATGCTCAGCATCTCTGAAAATCAACTCTGTTAGCATCTGGAACAAGTCAATGCTCATTCATGAAGTTAAAAAAGAAAAAACCTGAATTTTAGAAGTTTAACACAGGTAGGCTGCTTTAAATCTAAACATTTTTTAATTATTTGTCTGAACTATTAAAGTGCATACTAATAAATTCAGCAGTCTAAAAATACCCTCTATAGTTGCTTGAAATAGGAAACTTTGGAGCGCTTTGTTTAACCTTCCCCAGCTGGAGGAGGAGGAGGAGGCACAGGTGGCAATGAATGGAGAAGACCAGAAGGGACACGTCTGAGCACCTGAACCATGATTTCATGGGCTAGAGTGTCCATATCTTATTTGAGTGGTGAAGGGGGGGGGGGGTTGCCGTACAGCTGAAGTACATTTTGGCAGTCATATTTTTATATTATATATGTGTTTACCCTGACTGTGCATATGAAATTATGCTAGTGTATGTGTATGCAAATGCATGTATTCTAAGACATCTTCTAACACACGGTTTGCCTTGCTATAGTGGATGAGGTTCATTATGAATATATTATAGGATTGTGATTTTTCTACTGCATCCTTAACCAAAAGAACAAATCTTTCTTAGATTTAAAATCACAATCACCAGACCCAGGCGGGAAAACTGTTTAGTTTTTCTTGGTTATTAAAACAGTGAAGGGCACTGCTTTGGTTTCTTTTATTATTATTTTTTTTAAAAAAACCTTTTTATTGCATTTTTACTGCATACCACACAGGGCAAGGGATAAGGAAACACTAAAACATATAGCTAAAAAGGGATGTACTATGATACAAATAGCTTATTTTAAAGTTTCCTTTAGCTTTAACGTTCTAAAGATGAAGGATGAGATTAACTGTTTCAAATATAATTCAGCACAAACAATATTAGCCATTTGGTACATTAGACTTAATAGTATTAAACTTTCGGAATTGGTTCATTATTTCTTCTTTTTCCCTTTACGTTTATCTTTGTCATAGTCCCATCTGACTTTGAGAAGTTTGGAGGCGGCTTCTCCCATATCAAATTCAGAGTCTTCTTCTGAGGAGCTGCCCGATGTACTGCTACTACTTCCTGATCCATTTTTGCTGTTATCTTCCTATGCATTGTTGTCCTCCACTTTTCCTTTCTCTGTCTCTGTTTTTTGATGCTGGTCCAAAAATGCTTTGGCTTTTGCAACAGAGTCTATTTTTTCTTTTTCTCTCTCCTTGAAGTTGAAGATAAGTCCCACTGGTAAAATCCATCTGTAAGGAGTGGAATTTTTCTGTAGAAAAGTTGTCAATTTTTTATATTGTTGTCTCTTCTTTCTTATCTCAAATGGAATGTCTTTTAAGATTCTCATTTCTTCACCTTTGATTTTTAGAATAATCCTGTTGGTCGCTTTAAATATTACATCTCTGGTAGACCTCTTGGAGAATTTCACAAATATTTCACTGGGTAGTTTATTTTTCTTGATGTAGTCTGGATACGTCTGATAGACCACATCCATCTTGCTTTGTATAAATTCCACTTTGAGGTCTACTACCGGTGCCAGGGCTTCACTTAAAATCTCTTTGAGGTTTTCCCCTTTTTGTTCCGGGATACCCTGGAATCTCAGGATATATGATGATTTTTCCATTTGTATTTGTAGCAGCTGTTGTTTATCAGGGTCTTTCTCTTTTTCCACTGCCTCCAGTCTCTGATTTAATGCTTTTGTCTTACCATCAACTTTTCTCAAAGACTTTGCTGTTTTTTTCTGTTTTTATATTAGTTTCTTTTAGCTGTTTTTGGAGAGTTTCAAAATTATTATTAAGCTGGGTCATCTGGTCCAGTAGAGAGCACAATGCAGTGGCTAGCATATTAGAAAAGTTTATGGTTGTTTCCGGCTTGGAAGCAGATGCTGGTGAGCTAGCAGTTCCTGAAGAAGAAGATCTCACTTTCGGTTCCATTTTTTCAGCCCAATGTGACATTGTTTACATTAGGAAAAAGTTCCAAAAAGTCTCTGTAAGTTTGTTAGATCTCGCTCTTTAACCAGTCTGCACTCTATTTGGACTATATAATGCTTTCCAAACAGCTTTCCCCCCTTCTATCTCTTAAAGTTGCTTCTTTTTTCTCCTCGTGTGAGCTCAGCTCAATTCCCTCCACTTTTAAGTTTGAGGATTTGGGGGAAGCTGTCACTTAGACGTCTGTCTGTTTTAAAGGCATATGGACTCATGCTTCATCAGCTGCTTGCTTCAACAAGGTAAGGAAAGATTTAAGATGCTAGATCTCCTGTTCGCTTTTCCCAGTGTGCGTTGCCTCCAGTCTCTGATTTAATGCTTTTGTCTTACCATCAACTTTTCTCAAAGACTTTGCTGTTTTTTTCTGTTTTTATATTAGTTTCTTTTAGCTGTTTTTGGAGAGTTTCAAAATTATTATTAAGCTGGGTCATCTGGTCCAGTAGAGAGCACAATGCAGTGGCTAGCATATTAGAAAAGTTTATGGTTGTTTCCGGCTTGGAAGCAGATGCTGGTGAGCTAGCAGTTCCTGAAGAAGAAGATCTCACTTTCGGTTCCATTTTTTCAGCCCAATGTGACATTGTTTACATTAGGAAAAAGTTCCAAAAAGTCTCTGTAAGTTTGTTAGATCTCGCTCTTTAACCAGTCTGCACTCTATTTGGACTATATAATGCTTTCCAAACAGCTTTCCCCCCTTCTATCTCTTAAAGTTGCTTCTTTTTTCTCCTCGTGTGAGCTCAGCTCAATTCCCTCCACTTTTAAGTTTGAGGATTTGGGGGAAGCTGTCACTTAGACGTCTGTCTGTTTTAAAGGCATATGGACTCATGCTTCATCAGCTGCTTGCTTCAACAAGGTAAGGAAAGATTTAAGATGCTAGATCTCCTGTTCGCTTTTCCCAGTGTGCGTCTCAGTCGCCATTGCTGGTCTTGCAGCAGCGGGACCTGTTGGGGCAAAGAGGAGCCTCAATCCCTCAGCCGTCGCCCTGGGAGCGGCACCTCTCACAACCCAGGCTACGAGCCCCCTCCGAGGACTCTGGGGGGGGGGGACCGGAATCATCCAGTACTCCTCCCGTCCACTACGATCCCGGGTCACCAAAACCAGAAGCCTGGTTTCTTTTTCTCAGTTATGTTGGAATAGCTGTTCTTTAATAAGCACAATCAGAGCCATTGTGACAGCCAACATACTAGAGTTTTCAAAATGGAAACTATTATATTAATTTATTAACACTAGGGTTGCCAGACCCCCAGTCGAGGCAGAGGTTCCCCTGACTTTTGGGGCTTCAACCCACCGCTGGCCAGCTGGCCAGCAGGGGAAGCCCCACCCCAAGCATGGCTACTTCAGAGAGTTTTAAAGGACCATCCAGCTGATCGGGGGACTACATGGCTGCTAATCAGGTGGAGGTCCCTTTAAATATTGCAGGAGGAGAGGGAAAGGAGCAGCCGCAACCGCACACCTGAATTCCAAGCAGGGATTTGCCATTTGGAACTCAAACGCACGCAGCCCTGCTGGCCAAAAGCATTTAAAGTGTCCCTTTAAATGCTTTTGGCCAGCGGGGGCCAGGCCTTGTATGTCTGAATTCCGCTTGAAGTTCAGGTTCATGGCCAGCAGCTGCCCCTCTCCCTCCCCTCCTTCAAGATTTAAAGGGACCTCCAGCTAATTGGTGGGCCCTTTAAATCTCACAGGAGGGGGGAGGTCATGGGTGGTCATTGTTGGGGGCGAAGCTTGGGAGCAAGGATGTCCCCAATGTGACATCATCACATTGGGGACATCCCTGCCCCCTACAGGAATACCCCCCAAAGTCCCCCACTGGAGACAAAGCCAGACCTGGCAACCCTAATTAACACATGTGGCTTAGTCACTGGCTTTTTCCACAAGTACAGAGCAAAAGGTTGGAACTGACACTTCTTATGCTACTGCAAGTAACTTGCTTGTACCACGGGGATTCCCTCCCCAAAATGCACCCCTATAAGCCACGTCCCACAACATTCACAAGGGTTGGGAGGGGGTGCAGCAGTCAGATCTTCTGCAAGTGGAACTCCAATGTGGTTCTCCAAGTCCTGCCCAGTATTAGCATACTTCTTGCTACTTATCTCTCCGATAATGAGTGTTTCATGTTACACAGAGCTGCCTTATATTGAGGCTGCGGTCACACATACTAAATAATCCACTTTAAATCCACTTTCCAACTGGATTTTGCCAGTTCACACAGTAAAACCCAGTTGAAAAGTGCACTGAAAGTGGATTGAAAGTGGATTATTTAGTGTGTGTGACGGCAGCCTGAATCAAACCATTGTCTGCTCTCAGTGGCTCTCCAGGGTTTCAAGTCTAGGTCTTTCACATCACTTACCTGACTCTTTTAATTGGTGATGCCAGGGACTGAACCTGGGATTTTCTGCAAACAAAGCTGATGCTCTACCACTGAGCCATGCCTCCCCTGAATTCTTTCATATTTTTTGTTCACTTAAAATTTTGTTGCCCCTAATCAAAAGAATACATATACTCAGCTGAATCTCCTCATTTATAGAATACACAGTTTAGAGAACAGCAGCAGATCACTGTCTCTTTACTCATTACTTGTCTCTAAGGCTAAACATTTAGATATTTCTCTGATATTTCTCTGATACATTCTGCATGACGACCAGGTCAATCAGCCCGCAAAATGGAGCACTGACAAAGAGTTTGACTCACAGCAGGGTTTCCCAAAGTAGTGCACACATCTCTCAACAGTTCCTTGGTATGTCTGGCTACAAGAGCCACAGCACAGCTGACTCATACATACGAGTATGAATATGAGTATAAATATGAAAGTGAATAAAGAATGTCACACATTGCAGGGGGAATGTCATCATTGTCCTCTAAACTTCATGTTTTTTCTACCATCTTTGACAAAGACCTTATTGCTATCTAGGGTCATTTTTGTTTCCTTACTAGAACAAATAGCTATTGCTAGAATACAAGGCTACTTAGTAGGAGAATATGTATAGATATAAATACAAAAAGATTTAAAACATCCCTATTTATTTCATTTATAATTCTTTTCTCCAGATCTTTGCTCAAAGCATTTAACAATATATCAGTATCTAGTTAAAAGCACAAATCCTAAAAATAAAGGTTTCAGAGTGATGAACAGTTAATACAAATGTTAAAATGCAAATGTTAAAATACTGCTATAAATACATAACACTTCAGATAATTTCACTACTAATTTTAAAATGGAATCCAGAGGTGATCCTTGTTTTGAGTAAATTAGTAGAAACGTTTATTAAAGACAGAATTATTAAACTTTTAGAAGAATAAAGCCTGCTGAAGAAAAATAAACATGACTTCTGCAAACAAAAATCCTGCCTCATCAACCCTTTGGAGTTCTTTAAGAAGGTTAATAAGCATGTCAAGAAAGCATTTGGTAAAACAGGATATAACTGGATTTCCAAAGGCTTTTGATAAGGTGACTCACCAAAGACTCCAGAATAAACTTTGCAGTTATGGGAAAAGATGGGTCCTCTTATTGATGAAAAACTGGTTAAACAACAGAAAGAGAGTAGGAATGATGCATAATTTTCACAGTGAATGGAAACAAGCAGCAGGGTCCCACAAGAATCAGCACTGGGACCAGTGCTATTTAATCTTTTCATAAATGATCTGGAATTAGGGGTGAGCATGAACAAGTCAAGTATAAGTTTGTCTTAGCCATAGGCCATAACAATAGACTATAAAATGGTAATGTAAACAATAAAAAAATCAGTATACTCCTGTACTCTTTCTACTTTGCATTAAATACTAAACTCATTCTGATTTTCCTTGTTGCTAAGGCAAATAATGCCATTCTGCTAAAGACATAGTGCTCAAGGTCCGAGAGTAAAAATTTGACCAGATCCAGATCGGAGAGTCCATTACGCTGCGGAATAATAGGGATTATGTACTTTAGCCTAGGGGCTTCATGCCATGGGCATCTCAGAATATAATGTACAATATAATCAACTTCCCCCATATCACAAAGACAAAGTCAAAGGGGGGCAGGGATACCAAAGCAGTCCTAATCACTGAAGGCATGGATTGAAATCTTAAAGATGTAAAGGTAAAGGTTTTCCTTGCTCGCAACCCAGTCGGATCCGACTCTAGGGATGCGGCTAA